CGGCGGCGGCGGCGGGGGCCGGGGTGGCGGCCGGGGCTGCTGCCGAGGCCGCTGCCGGTGCCGCGGCCGTCGCCGTCTCCGTCTGCTCGGGCGCCCGCAGGCGTTTCATGAGCGTGGTCACTCGCACGGCTTTCTGCGAGGGAGAGTCGGGGGCCATGGGGCTGGCGGAAGGGCAGGTGCTGGCAGCCCCACCAGGCTCACAGCCCTGCGATGGGGGACCGGGGGAAACTGAGGCACAGCGCACCCCCACACACCTTCCACTTGGCCCGGGCGAAGTTCTTCTCGATCTGAGCACAGACTCCATCCTTGATGTTCTTGTCAGAGGCGGCATTCCCAGAGATCCTGGGGAGGTGGGGAGGGATGAGCAGCCCCCATCAGCCCCCCACCCCAGTCCCCCACCTGACCCCACTGCCTCTCACCACTCGTGGGAGATGGCCTCCTCTGCTGTGATCCGCTGGTCCTGCTCCACCTCCATCAGGCGCGTCACCAGCTCCTTGGCTGGGTCACAGAGGGGGACGTCAGTGCTGGGGGGGACAACACGAGACTCCACATACCCACCAGCACGGGGCTCACCTGCCTGTGAGATGTCATCCCAGTATGGTGGGTCGAACTCGTAGTCCCCAGCCAGGATTTTGCGGAAGAGGTTCTTGTCGTGGTTCTCGTAGTCATCCTCGTCTGCCTCCTCGTAGAAAGGGGGGTTCCCAGAGAGGCTGGGGGATGTGGTGGGGGGCTCAGCCCAGCCCCTGGCCCCCAAGCCCCTCTGACCACCCCAGCCCTCACCCCACACTCACAGGATATACATGATGACACCGATGGCCCAGCAGTCCACCGGCCGCCCGTATCGCTGCCGCCCCACCACCTCTGGAGCTGCAGGGGACAGAAGAGCAACCCTGCCCCGGGGTCCCAAATGCCATGGCTCTTTGGCCCTGGGATCATGGGGAGTGGGAGGGACCCACTGGAACCCAGGATCAGCCCCCCCAGGGTGTGATGGGGAATGGGAAGGACCTGCCAGAGGCACCTGTGACCATCAGGAGGGACCTACTAGGAGCCCCCAGGACCACTCCCCACTGTGGTGAGGAGCAGCAGGTACCTGCTGGGACCCCAGCAGCACTGTCCACCCCTGAATGCCCAGCCGGCTGGCTCTCACCCACCCAGGTACTCAGGGGTGCCGCAGGGTTCCTTGATGAGCCCGTTCTCCAGCTTGGCCAGATGGAAGTCGCTGATGACGATCTTGGAGTTCTTCAGGCGGTTATAGTACACCAGGTTCTCCAGCTGCCAGTGCAGGGGCTGTGAGTGCCAGGGTGGGGGGCATGGCACCACCCATGGGTGCTCCCACCCCTCCACCACCCACCTTGAGGTTCCTGTGGACAATCTTGAGCGAGTGCAGGTAGGCAACAGCCTCCAGCACCTGCCGGATGACATTGCTGGTGTCCTTCTCGGAGTAGTAGCCCTGATCCAGGATCCAGTCAAAGACCTCCCGGCCAGTGGCCCTGCAGACAGCAGTTCTGCCAAGAACCCACCCTGGTGGGGCCACCCTGCACACAGCCCTGCATGTCCCAAACTTACAGCTCCAGGAAGATGAAATATTCCTTGCGGGTGATGTAGACATCCACTAGTTGTAGGATGTTGGGGTGCTTTACCCTGCAGAGACACAGGGGCATGGGTGGGGGTCCCTCCCCACTTTGCCCAGCTGCACGGGTTCCCCCCCAGCCCTGGCACTCACATTTTGAGGATGATGATCTCGTTTTTGGCCGCCTTCCGCACTTTCCGCCCGTCCCGCTTCAGAAACTTCTTGCAGGTGTAGAGCTTCCCCGTCGTCTTCTCCTTGGCCCGGAAGATTTCACAGAACTCTTCCCTGCAAGGGGTACCCCCAACCATCACCCCCTTCCTGGGGACCACTGAGCTTGGGGTGCTCAGGTGGTCCCTGGGCCCACCAGTATTTCCCCCAGTCCCAGCGGTCACGGGAGATGCCACAGGGGTGGAAGGAAGCTGTGGCTAAAAACCTCTTTGGAGGAGAGGCGAAGAAAAAAACAGCAGTGAGAAGGAACTGATATGGAATAAGCAAAATTATAGGGAAGGGGTAATATTTGCTGGTTAAAAAGCCCCCTCCTCACAGCAGCTGGGGTAAGACCCACTGCACAGCCACCTGTGCCGAGGTGGAACAGCAGCACATTAACATCAGCACTGCGGTCAGGGAGAAAAAAGGGGAGACTTGCTGGTTGCTGCAGTATTTCTGTTCTATTATTAATGGTGCCTGAGCCCATTGGCCAGGCCAGAGCCACAGGGGAGCCCCCGAGGGGCACTCGGCACTGCTCCAGCAAAGCCTTTGGCTTCCAGTCTCCCCCACTGTGCTGAAATCCTTGTGGCTGCTGCCCTGGATGGAGGGGAACTGGGACCCGTGGGCTTTGGGGCAGGCTGCCCAGAGGATGGAGCAAAGATCTGAGAGCACCAAGGTCCCCACTGCCACCCAGTGTCACCCCACCAGGCATGACCAATGGCCAAGTGGTTGCTTTGGAAAAAATTCTGGTGCATATTCTGGGGTCAAACTGCTCTCCATGGGTCTGAGAGCTGCATTTTTGGAGTGCATCCTAACAGGTCCCCCAGCATGGCAATAAAAGTTGGGGGAAGCAGCATTGCTCTGCTCCCCCCCCAAATGATATCTGCCTTTCCTTTGCTGGAGCAGAGCCCTTCTGCTTCCCAAACTGCTTGGGGGAGCCAGGATCGTGCAGAATTGCTGCAATCCCTGCAAGTCTTGTGGCGAAGAGGGAGGGATACAGGGAGATACCCAGCTGCAGCCAGCTGCGGTGGGAAAGCTTGCTGCCCTCCTCGGAGCCGGCTGTGGAAACCCCCATGCACCCACAACCAAGAGGAATTAATTAGGAGATAGCCACCCCAAAATGCACCCTGCCATCCTAGCCCAGCTGGGCTTCAGCACCCCAAGAGCCCTGCAGGCAGCGTCGTGCCACTCCTCAGCCCGGGGTTACGCAGGCGTTGGGGTCCCCGGGGCATCCGCGGGCCATGGAGGGACCAACTCACGTTTTGATGACCTGGCCCAGGTCATATCTGTCAGTCACCTCGGACGGCTGGTTATAATCTTTCTTGTCTCCCAGCGTCACGCAGCCAAACGGCATCGCAGGGCCCGGTGCTGGCAGGGCAGGGAGAGGCGGTGAGTGCCTGGCACCGCCGGCCCCCCTGGAGCCACAGCAGACCCTCCCGAGCCGCACTAATTAATGTAAAACCTGACGGAGCTCAGAGCCTGCTCCTGCTCCCCAGCTGTCACAAACTGCCGTGTGCCCAGCCCCACTGATGTGCATCCAAACCCCATGGCATCCAATCTTTCTGCCTGGGCTCAGGCTGCCAGCACAGCCACAAGCTGGCCCCTCTGGCCCCCCCTTGTGCGGATCGTTAATTCTTAATTAGCGGCCAGGGCTAGTGCACTGAACCCTTCAAAACCAGGGCCCAGAGCACACACTGAGGAGGGAAGTGGAGGTGAATCGACCCTTTCCCATTTCTCAGCCCAGTTTTGTCCCACGGTGACATTTCAGCAGCCGGGGCCTCCCCAGGCAGAGCATTGTCACACGTTGTCACACGTGCAGTGGGTTACACCAGCCTCAGCTCCCCATCCCTTTTCCCGGCCCCGACTGCAGCACCGGGCAGGTGGGCACCGCGGCTCGGAGGTGCCAGCCCTCCTGCCACCAGCAGTGGGCAGGACACTGACTGGCCTTGGCACACACCAGCTCCTCTGGCCCTTTAGGAAGGATGTTTTGCCCCTTGCTTTCCTGCTGGGAACCCTTCAAAACCAGATCCTCCTTGGAAGCTTCCCAGAAAAAAATCTGGTCGCATAAAGTGATTTTTTTCCCTCTCCCACCCTGTTACCAGGAGGAAGTTTCAGCTGGTGTTATTTTCTGATGGCTCAGAAGGTGACAGAGCTGCCTGGGGCCCCCCAGCCCTCTTGGATGGGCCTGAGTGGGACCCTGTGATGGGATGCTGGCGCGATGCTGGAGGGACCCATTGCCAAGCACTTAAGCTCCCTGAACCCTGCGCTGTGCTGTGCCAGCCTGGCTGTGCCCGTGCCGGCAGCGCCCGGGGCCCGGTGGGGAGAGCTGCGGGCAGGATGGCAGTGCGGGATGCGGGATGCGGGAGCCGGCATCGCGGGTACCCAAGCGCCGAGCCTGTTGCTATGGCAATGGGAGCTGAAGATGCAGAAAGCGGCACATCCTTTGGAGGGGGCAGGGACGGGCAGCACCCGGCAGTACCCGACCCACCTGCGGGTGCACAGCCCCATCCCTGCTGCACAGGCCCTGGGAGGAAGGTGGTCCTGCCCGCAGCACCCAGGGCATGCACCTAAGCTCTCCCTGGGGTGACTGACCCAAACCTGGGTGGGACAGCAGTGCCCTGAGCCGGGGAATGGGGGGATGCTTCTTCCTGCCTCCATCCCTAGGAGCTGACCTGCCTCTGTGCCTGCTCAAGCAATGCCCAGAAGATGAGTGCTCCCAGCTTGCACGGCACCCAGGCACCCTCCTGGTGCCAGGAGAGCCTTCACCAGGCAAGAGCACCCACACCCATCCTGCTCAGCGTGCCCCAAGTCCTGAAAGAGAATCAGAGCACCCATGGGACACCCCTGCCCGTGCCACAGACTGGGTGAGGCTTTCCAGCCCACGCCTGACTCATACTACCAGCCTCCCCAGCAAACGTGCCCTGCCTGGCACCTCCGTGTCCCCATGCCACACGGTGCTGGCTCTGCCCTGCCACTGTGCTCGATCAAGGGGGACGAGGGCTGTCCTGGCAGCTGCTGGTGTGGCAGTGGGCTCAGTGCCACAGACCATCGGGGCAGCGCTGGCCTGCGGGCGGGCAGGCAGGCTGCCAGCACTGGTGGCACAATGCCAGGATTAGTTGGTTAGGGGACCCGGGCAGGATGATATATTGGGATTTTATTGCTGTCTCTGCGAGCGCTCAGCTAATCTGCGCTCATAAAATTAGTTCCTGTTGGTTTAATGGGGGCTCCTCCTGCCAGGGCTGAGCACCGGTACCCTCCCCTGCCCCAGGAGGCTTGAGATGGGGCTCAGCACACCTGAGGTACCCTGCAAGGGAGGCTGGCACACAGCCCCACATCGGGGCCAGCACCTGCACCCCACAGGTGAGAGCACCCTCACCGCAAGCAGGGGCACCCAGGGGTAAGGGGTGGGCGAAAGGGCGAGTGCTTCCTCCCCGAGGTGCTGGGGGGAAGGCTCAGTGCTGCGCTGGCACCCGCACGCAGCCAGCACCCCCCTCCAAGTGTCTAATTTGGGAGCAGAAGCAACAGCGGGTGTAAGACAATAGCGGGGAAGTGGGTGGCCGGGTGGGGATGGCACGGAGGGATGACACAGCCGTGCAGCTCTCGCCAGTGGGGACCCCCAGCCCCCCGACCCCCAGCTCTGCCCTACGGCGTGAGGTGCCACCGGCCGGTGCTCCACCTCCAGCCCCGCTTCCACCTGCAGCTGCCCTGGACGTGTCCGTGGGGGGGTCCCCGCTGCCATCCCGCCCCCACGTCCCGGGGGAAGGATGTACCGGGGACAGGCAGAAAATGCAGCCGGGCTGAGACGGACTGAAATATTGCTAGTGCAGGCAGCGGGCAGGCAGCGGGAGGCGGAGGGGAGGCGGAGGGGATGCGGAGCGGCCGGCCGGCTCTGCGCTGCTCGCGGAGCCCCCGGGCTAGGGCTGAGGCAGGGCTTGGGGAGCCCCACCGCCCCCGGCCCGGGGCGTGCGGGGGGACAGCCCGGGACGCGCACCGCAGGGAGGTCTGCGCTTGGCCGGCTCGGAGCGCTGCGGCAGCGGGAAGGGAGCGGACTGCGGGAGACAGGCGCGGGGTCCAGGAGGGGATGCTCGGCGGCGGGGACACGGGGAGAGAGTCCCCGGCAGCAGCCCCCGCCACGGGGCCGGCCCAGGTCTCCGCTTCGAGCTCCGCGCGGAGACGGGGGCGGCACTGGGGCACAAGTGGCCCGGGGGCGCTAGCGGGGCGGCGCGGGGGGAGCCGGGCTCGCCGTGCTCGCGGCCCCCGTCGGGGCTCGGGGTCTGCGGGACGCGGGGTGCCGGCGGGGGCAGCGCGGCGGCAGGCAGCCGTCGGGGCGCACACGCATTGGGCAGGGACCCGCACGGCCCCGCCGGGATGTCCCGGGTCACCGGGGGCGGGGGGAGAGTCGGGGGCAGCCCCGGGACAGGCAGTTCCAGATCCCAGCAACGCCCCCACCGCCGGGCCCGGCCCCCCTCGCCCCCCGTCCGGCGCAGCGCGACGCTCACCTGCACGCCTCTCCGACCGCAACGGGGGGCTGCGGCCCGGAGCCGCCGCTCGGGGGGAGCGCGCCCCTCCCTCCCGCCCTCCCGTGCCGGGCCGGGGCCGAGCCGGGCCGAGCCGAGCCGCTCCCAGGCGCTCCCAGCGCTCCCAGCCGGTCCCAGCCGAGCCGTCGGTCCGTCCGGCGCGGCCCCGCGCGCCCGGCGCGGCAACTTGGGGGGGGCGGGGCCGCGGGGACACGCCCCGCCCCGCGCCACGCCCCACCCATGACGTCACGGCCGATCTTCGCGCCCCGCCCGTGGGCCCCGCCGGGACGGGTCACGAGTGGCGCCCGGAGCGGCCCACGGGGGGACACCGCCCTGGGGCCCGCGTACCCCATGGGACTGGAGACCCCATGGGACCCTACACCGTCCTCATCAGGCTGAGCCTGGGTCCCCCTGGGCTGTGCCATGGCCACTGGCTCAGGATGGGATGGGATGAGATGGGATAGAGTGCGGTGGGATAAGATGGATGGGATGAGATAGAATGATGTGCAGGGGGGTGGGATGAGATAATATGAATGGGATGGGATTGAACACGATGGATGGGATGGGATGGGATGGGATGGGATGGGATGGAATGGGATGGGATGGGATGGGATGGGATGGGATGGAGGGGGATGGAATGGAGTGGAATGGGATGGTGTCGGATGAGATGTGACTGGGTGGATGAGATGGGATGGAATGGGAGGGGTGGGATGGGATGGGAAGAGGTAGGATCAGGATTTTAGCAAAGCTAAATTCGGGCTCAGCATCACAGGTGTCTGTCCCCTGAGGGCACTATGAGGACACTGCCAGGAGGACACTCCTGCCTCTGTGCCATGATCCAGGGTGAAGCAACTTCTCCTTCCCCAGCTGCAGCACCAAAGGCCCTGCTTGCTCCCTCATGACAGGGATAGTCAGTGCCCCACAGCTTGGCACAGGGAGCAAGAAAGCGGCAAGAAATCGTCCACCCTGATTCTCTTCCTCTGCCCACAGCTTAGGCATGGCACCCAGCCAGGGGTGGGCAGCATGGCCCCCGGGGCACAGCAGGGCCCCCAGTCCCTTGCCCTGCTCCCTCACTCCCTGCTCCTCATGCAGTGCAGCCGCGTGTGCAGAGCCTCCCCGACGGCTGCGTGCCACACGCTGGCATTTGCGGCCCATATGGTGCCACTTCCGAACCATTCTTCCACTCCCTTTCCCTCCCGCCCCTGCACCCACCAAACCCCAGCTCCCCAAACCACCTGGCTTGCACCAAGTCGCTGCAGGGATGTGGCCTCCCGTGCCCTGGACCCACAGCCTTCCCCCTCGCCCATGGACAGGGAACATCAGGGTCCCATCCCCTAAGCCAGCATCTCCCCTCTGCACACAGGAGACCAGGCAGCACCCCAAGGCAGAGCCAGCTCAGAGCACCCCTGGCACCTGTCCCCTGCGTGGCACCGAGCCCTGGGCCCACTGCCACCCGCGCCGGGTAATTAACAGCACGTGAGAGCAGGGGGAATTAGCAGGGCACTGTAGTTTGAGCTCCTAATCAAGAGTTTAATCATAGTGGCTGGCAGCAGCGTGCCACAGTTATTAATCTCTGCACCTCACGGGGACCTGGAGCATAAGTCACAATTACCCAGCAGGCGCCTGTGCGGTGCAGGGCTGCCTGGCCGTGGCTCACAGCACGAAGGATGGGATGGGATGGGATGGGATGGGATGGGATGGGATGGGATGGGATGGCACTCCTCCATTGTCCCTTGGTCCCGCTTGTGCCCATCACCTCCCAGCACCAGACTCCTGCCCATGGCAGAACTGACCTGGGATCCCATTACTGTCCTCTGGTCCCAGCTCTGGTTCAGATCTTGGTCCACCCCATGCCTCCATTTTGGGGTGATGGGCTTTGCTGGGCCCAGTGGTGTTTGTCCCTGTAGTGCTGTGCCCCATTGCCCTGTGCATCCACCATCCCATGCACCCACTGCCTCATGCGCCTATACACTCCCTTCCCACTGCCTCCCAGAGCTGGGTCCTGGGTGTCATGGCAGTCTGGGGTGTTTATTTCTGCAGGACTTCTGGAGTAAACGAGACTGGGATGCCCAAGGTGGGGCTGCCAGGGCTAGGGGCACTCAGCTGTACACCTCTGCCTTGGATGGGGCACATGGGAGGGGGGGACACCTGGATGTACCCTTGGGTGAGGAGACACAGTGTGGGGGACATCTGGCCATACCCCCCACCCCAGCAGGGTGGAGGGGGTGCAGGACCTGCCTGCAGGGTGCTGGGGGGTACAGTGGGGTGCAGTAGGGAGTGTTCAGTGTGTCTGCTCCGGGGTGCAGTGGGTACAGCAAGAGGGTGTTTGGCATATACGTGCAGGGGTGCAGTGAGGTGCAGCAGGGTGCTGGGGGGTACAGTGGGGTGCAGTAGGGGGTGTTCAGTGTGTCTGTTCAGGGGTGCAGCGAGGTGCAACGGGTTGTTCAGTGTATCTGGGCAGGGGTTCAGTGGGGACTGTTCAGTATATCCATGCAAGGGTGCAGTGGGGTGTGATAGGCAGTGTTCAGTGTGTCCACGCAGGGGTGCAGTGAGATGCAGTGTGGGGTGTTCGGCATATTGATGTTGGGGTACAGTGATGTGGGGAGGGGTGTTTGTTGTGTCGGTGTTGGGGTGCAGTGGGATGCAGCGGGGGTTATTCAGTGTATCCATGCAAGGGTGCGGTGGGGTGTGGCAGAGGGTGTTCAGGGTGTCTGTGTTGGGGTGCAGTGGGGAGTGGTGTGGGGTGTTGAGCGTGTCAGTACTGGGGTACAGTGGGGTGTGGCGGTGGGTGTTCGGCGTGTCCATGTCGGGGTGCAGTGGGGTGCAGCGGGGGGTGTTCAGCGTGTCCGTGACTCAAGCACCACGCGGCACCGCATCCCTGCGTGCTCACCATCACCATGGCAACCGCCAGGCAATCAGCGATAATTGCGCACGTCGGCCCGGCAACAGGGCCAAATAAACCCCATCCCTCCTTTCGGGGGGCCGGCGGGGGGGCTAGGGGGGGAGAAAAAGAAGGGGTGCACCTGCCAATCATCACCCCTGGCCCTCAGTTGGGATCAGCAGCGGGGGGGGGTTGCACGGTGGCAGGGCCACCCTCCCCATAAGTGTCCCGTGGCACCCATGTGCCCTGGAAGGCGTCGAGGGACACAGCCAGTGAGCCGCCCAGCCCAGCCCCAGGTGTGAGGGAGCCTCAGCGGTGACCCCCAGCTCGGCCACCAGACCCCCACAGTGGCACAGCTCCTCCAGCCCATCCCAGCTGGTGACCACACCATGAGTGAGATCAGGGCTGCTCCCCACCTGGAGCAGCCTTGTCCCCAGCTACCTGCTCCTGGAGTGGCCCATCCCCGTGTTGATGACAGCACACAAAGCCTTCTACCTCTCCACTGACTTGGCTCCCATCACATCAGGGCTGGCTCCTAGTCCCTGGAGCCCTGATGTGGGAAGGGGGCTTGGTTTCCATAGTGTCCTGCATCACAGTGATGACATGGCATTGGGGTTTGGTTCTCCTTCCCACTGGAAGAGCTTTGAGGGTCCCCTGCCTCTCTGTGTGGTAGTACCTGCAGCCATAGGGACCAGGGTACAGGGAGGCTGCTCAGGGAGAGAAATGTCTCCAGGGGAGAGAACTGGCTCCCAGGGACAGGGCCAGGATCAGGGCTGGGACTGTGATGTGGCTGACACAGGTCCTGACCAGGCTCTGAGATGGGATGAGCCTCCCCATCTAAGGGTGGGTGTTGTCTCCTGGGCAGAGAAAGAAGAAAAAGACATGCCTTATAGCCTGGAAGGACTTTAGGGGTAAACAAAAGCTTCCTGGTAGCCAGCAGATCTCCCCAGGGGCCAACAGAGATTCCCAAGGGCCAGCAGAGATCCCCAGGGACCTCTAAAGCTCCCCAAGTACCACCAAAGCTCTCCAGGGGCCATCAGAGCTTCCTGAGGGCCATTAGAGCCACGAGTGAGTGCAGGGGTGCCCTGGGCAGTGCAGGCGCCCCCAGTGACAAGCTCCAGAACCAGGTGGGGAGGCCGGAGGGACAGGGCCGGCTGCCGGGGCCGGGATGTGGGCAGCAGGGACCGGGGGTGCCGGGGTGCGGGCGACCCCCCCTCGCCGCTCACAGGCATCATTAGCAAAACTCGCCGGTTTCTAAAAATGGCACGTCGGTGCCGCGGCGGCTGCTCTTCACGCCCGCTCCCCAGCACCGGCAGCCGCTAAAAACAGCTCGGCGCTGCCTGCTGCCTCCTGTCACCTCTCGCCCGGACGGCTGGCACCGGAGACCACCGCTACACCCAAACGCTGATTTAGCACAATTTTGCCCATCTCCAGTCCAGCCCCTATGCCGTGGCACCCGCTGCCTGCGCCCACTTCTCCATGAGGAGCCCAAACTCGCTGCTGGCTCAAGGTGCCATTGCGGCAGCACCGGCAAACGCCGTCGCAGCACATCCCCGGGCGATGCCGGTGGCGGGACCGTGCCCGGCTCTGCTTGTGCACCCGCAGCCCCGCGTGCGGCCACTCATGTTTTATAGATGGCTCTGATTTTAATAATTAATCCCTGCTAACGACAGCACTTTCCCCAAATAAAACATTTAAAGTGCTGTGTGTGCACGGCGCGTTGCCGGGGTGGGACGCCGGCTGCTCTGCTGCAGCCGTGGCGGGTGGGGACAGCACGAGGTGGTGTGGCACAGCATGGCGCAGCGTGGAATGGCCTGGCACATGCCCACAGCTCAGCTCAGTGCTCCACCAACCATGGCCAGGCAATGCAGCACCTTAGGTGTCACCCACCCAGTGCCCACCTGTGGGTGCACAGGCAGCAGCTTCAAGACACTCCCCCAGCTGGGGCAGGGGTGCCAGGTGCCATGCAAGGTGCCACCCTGCGGGGTCACCTGCCTGTCCCTGCTGCCGTGGCAGTGGGCACAGCACCGGTGCCAGTCATGACCAGCAGCATCGAGCAGGGGTGGGCAGGGGTGGGCACATGCCAGCCCTTGGCATGGAAGTCTGGGTGCTTATTCCTCACCTCCTGCAGCGTAATTAGGGCAGGATAAATGTGGATTAGCATGAAATCTGTCATCTCTGCAAGCACATTTGCAGGGGGGATGGGGGCAGCCTGAAGCAGGAGCCACCCTCACGCACGTCACCATAACCACGCCAGACTCATCAGCTAACAAGCAGTTCCCTGT